GAGACCGGCTACGGAGACCGGCCAAGGCCTCCCTGGGAAATGTGGATGCAGGCTAGCAGAGAGCTGGCTCCACTGAAACAAGTAAGAGGGCCTCAGGGACAAAGACTGTGGCTGGACAGCAGAGGAGCCCAGGCAAATCTGAAAAGTCAGGCACGGTGGCCCATGCTTTGGGAGGCTGATGCAGAAGGATCACAAGTTCAAGCCCAGTCTGGGCAACCGGGTGACTTAGCAAAACGCTGTCTCAAAAAGAAAAAATAAATAAATAAAGCGCTGGGAATGCGGCTCAATGAAGGCCCTGGGTTCAATCCCCAGTGCTGGAGAACAATCCAGAGACTGGGGATTTAGCTCAGAAGCACAGTGCCTGCCTGGCAAGCGCAAGGTCATGAGTTCGATTCCTGGTACTGGAAGAAAAACAAAAACAAAAAACAAAACAGACGAGGCAGGACTTGGAGCTCTTAGCTCAGCTGGGAGAAGGAAGGACAAGACCTGGACGGGTGGCCGCTCTGATTTGCGAGGTTTTTCCTGCAGGACACGCAGACCCGCTGTAGTGTTCCTTCAGACCCAGAGGGTCGGGCCATCAGCCGCTGGAAGCCACCGCCGAGGCAGAAGGGTGATCCGGATGCCTAAAGGCCAGTGCTACACACTTCTGGGGCCCGGGCAGACGGAAGGCATGTTGCGGAAGGGCAGTGGGCTATCCGGACGCACGCGTATACAGGGTGGCAGCAGTCTCCCTGGACACAAGGGAGGGCGACAGGGACCCTTGCTGCATTCCACCTTGGGGGTGGCTCCAGTCCAGTGCATGTGCTGAAAGCACGCGGAGATCCATTGTGATGAAATAGACCATGGCTCTGTGAAGGCTGCACCATTCACTTTGTGTAAGCATCAGTTTCGGGCCTTCTTAGAATACACAGGGCCGGTACTGACGCCGGAAGGCTCATTCTTTCTATATTGAACTGCACAGCTGCAAGGAGTTGCACAAATGTTACCAACTCATTTGTCATGCAAACAGTGCTTCAGAAAGAAATAAAATACTATTATGTGGTATATGTGTTAGGCAATCACTATATCAAATCCGTGGCATTCTGTGCAAACACAGGCAGAGGAAAGGAAAACAACACTTGGTGAGAGAAATCGCACCACAAGGGAGCAGCTAAGTCAGGGGACCGGGAAGCTGAGGCTGTAATTTTCTCAGCGAAGTGGCCAGTGCTGAATACCCCGGGGTTGGAGCAAGGACAGGCGGGCAACACCCTGACAAGAGCCCAGGGCCCAGGAAGGGGAGGGACAGATGGGGGGAGAAGGGAGCCTGGCAAGGGGGAGAAATGACAGGAGGGCGGACGTGCTGGGGGCAGGAGTGTGTGAGACTGCTGAGGGTGTGGAAGGAATGTGAAGTGGGCGGGAGGAGGGGAAGAGCTGTATTTCCATTGCTACCACCTCCCTCTCTTCCCTCAGGGGCTTCCCGGTAAGAGCCTTCCTGTAACCGAATCACCTGCCCTGTGGGAGGCTCCACACAGCCCTGGCTGCCAGAATTTGGGTTAAGTATAAACAGGGACGAGCCTGTGCCAGGCATCGTCACAAGCACCTTACACAAATTACCCCTTCTAGGGGCTAGGGATTTAGCTCAGCGGCAAAGCGCCTGCCTGGCAAGCGCAAGGTCGTCAGTTCAATTCCTGGTACAGGAAGAAAAACAAACAAACAAACAAACAAACAAATTACCTCTTCTAATCCTCACGGCAACCTGGGGGGTTCACTGGCCCAGAGGCTAAACATGCTAATTGGATACGTCTGGGAGTTGAAGAGCCAGGACTAGAAATCAAACTGGCTCCAGAGCCCACATCCAAACCACAGCCATGGCAGCAAGACTGTGTGTCTCTGGGGCCCCCACGCACCCCCTCTCCTTATGAGAATCCCACCAGGAAGCCGCACCGCCTCTGGCTGCTCCAACTCCACCGGGTGCAGAGGCGCCTTGCAGCTGGAAGCCCAGGGCCAGCTGTCCTGGACCTGGGCGCTGCTGCTGGCCAGAAAAACAGGCCCAGCCCGCCACAGCCCAAATGTGGCCAGGGCCTCCAGCATGCCTGGGTCTCCTCCAGCACCCAAACAAAACCCGATCACGCATGGGTCCCCACGCAGAGTGGCCAATGATCGAGTCTCCCAACTCTTGGCGGGGGCTTGTCACTAACCATTAAGCAATTCATCCATTAAACCAACAGGACTTTATGGAATGCCCACCACATGCCAGGGACAGCGTTTGGGGTGGAGGATTCAGGGATAAACACGACCAGGCCTACCAAACCAGGGGACGTGAGAGGGGCGGAGCAAGAGGAGAAAACAGAAAATACCCCCGCTCCCTAAAGACAAAACAAAACAAAACAAAAAAACCACATCGGACCTCTCCAACATGGCGGCTCTAAACGCCGAGTCAGACCTCCTCACCATGGCCGACCCGTGGCCAGACGCCGACCTCCCCAACATGGCGCCCACGGCTGACCTTCTCATCATGGCGCGCGGCCCCGCCCGCCTTGCCGCGGTCGCCGGCGGGAGCAGTTCCGGGTGCGCTACGCGCCGGGGGCGGCGTCCTGGCCATGGCCGGTTTGTCGGACCTGGAGTTGCGGCGGGAGCTGCAGGCCCTGGGCTTCCAGCCAGGACCCATCACCGACACCACTCGGGACGTCTACCGCAACAAGCTGCGCCGCCTGCGGGGCGAGGCCCGGCTTCGCGACGAGGAGCGGCTGCGGGAGGAGGCCCGGTCGCGGGCCCCGGAGCGGCTGCGGGAGGAGGCCCGGCTGCG